GCGCGGGGCCCGCTGCGGCTGCGTCCGCCGGGAGGGGCCGGGCGCTCGGCCGGGCCGGCCGCTCACCGTCCCCCTGCCCTGCTCTGCCCGACGCCAGGCGGGGACGGCCCTGGGGCCGAAGAGCAGACGGCGGTGGCCATCGCCAGCGTCCAGCAGGCGGCGTTCGGCGACCACAACATCCAGTACCAGTTCCGCACAGAGAATAATGGAGGACAGGTGAGGCGGCGACCCGGGGACTGGGCGGGCAGGCCGGTGGGCGGGCGGCGAGGCCGGGTAAGCCGAGAGCTGGGAGGGGGCTTGGGCCTGGCCCCCTGCCCGAGCCCCAGCGCCGGCCTCAATGTTCTGCCGCCCCCTGCAGGTGACATACCGTGTAGTCCAGGTGACTGATGGTCAACTGGATGGCCAGGGGGACGCGGCCGGCGCCGTCAGTGTGGTGTCTACGGCCGCCTTCACGGGGGGTCAGCAGGCCGTGACCCAGGTGGGTGTGGACGGGGCGGCTCAGCGCCCAGGCCCCACCGCTGCCTCTGTGCCCCCGGGTCCCGCAGCACCCTTTCCTCTGGTAGGTGCCCAGTGACCCCTGGGGGGCGGAGGGGGACACTAGCTCAAAGGTTTTTAGGCAAGTGGGACGCAGGTGCTGCCTTCAAGCCGTCAGATCATCTGGAATACAATTCCTGTTCTGCGAGGTGAAACCTTGGGCAAGATTACCTTTCCAGACCTCAGTGATTTCTCTGTAAAACGGGCCTGAGGGTAGCAGGCAATCTCTTAATTGTAGAAACAGGCTGTAAGTGCTGAGGCATAGGGCACTCCGGAAACGCAGGGCAGAACGGTGCACAGAGAGGCCTCCCATCCCCGCTGAAAACAGGATAAACATCAAACACACCAACAGGGGCATAGGAAGAGGGAAAAGAGAAGAGTTACGAGTGGCCTCTGTCCTATACCCAGGCTGTAATCCAAAATCCCTTCAGTAATGGTGGTAGCCCGGCACCTGAGGCCGTCAGTGGGGAGGCACGCTTTGCCTATTTCCCAGCCTCCAGCGTGGGAGATACTACGGCTGTGTCGGTACAGACCACAGATCAGAGCTTGCAGGCTGGAGGTAAGGGGAGAAAGGGGCCAGGACAGAGGGCAGGGGCGGCGACAGTCCCAGCAGGGAGGGCAGCCCCTCACCCAGTGCCAATCTTGCCCCCGCTAGTGGCATTCACCCCTACTTTTCCTGCAGGCCAGTTCTATGTCATGATGACCCCCCAGGATGTGCTTCAGACAGGAACACAGAGGACGATTGCACCCCGGACACACCCCTATTCCCCGTATGTACAGGAGCCTTGATCCCAGGGGTAGGGGACAAGGGGAAGGCCCTAGGCTGGGGGTCTAGTGCAAGGGACTTTTTTGGGATGGAATCCATGCAGGTTAGCACACAACAGGCACTTGGCATATCAGTCGATTTGGTTCTGTTTCCGTTGTGTACGTGAAGAGAACAGTTTTCTCTCAACTCTTTGTTGTGATTTGAGTGAAAAGTTAAACAGCAAATTTGAGGTCCAGTCAACAGTTCATACACATTATATGCATTAAAATCCCCAAGTGATTGCAGCACTCTTCCCACTTCTTCCATGTGTTTCTGGCTTCCATTTGTCCTTTCTTATCCCTTCCTTCTTTCTGAGTTTCATTCTTGGGCAAACTGCTGCCCTTAATCTTGAAAGAGCTGGTTGTTTTAAGGAAGGCATTCTTCTCTGGTGTTACTGATCACCTTACAGACCTGTCTGTCATTTGGCTGGAAAGTAAGTTCTAGGTCTGAAGGGTGACCAGAGCCATAATGTGAAGGTTCCTCCAGTCTCATTCAGATTAGTAAGCCTGGCCTTTCTTACAATTTTAAGCTCGGTTCCACCTGTTCTCCCACTCTTATCAGAGAGACTCCTCTCTCTTCCTGAATAAGAATTTAATCTTACAAAGATCTTTTTCAGATCTGATTGCTTAGTAAATGCTTAGATAAATGGGACCTGAGATAATGGGTTTGTTGCTGTTGCTGTTTTTCTAGGAAAATCGATGGAACCAGAACCCCCCGGGATGAGAGAAGGAGAGCCCAGCACAATGAAGGTGAGGACGAGGTGGGGCTCCTGTCCGCCCAGGCCAGTCCCTCACAGGCACAGTCAGTCCTAGGACGTGGAGCTGGGGAGGCTGCTCCAGCCTGCCAGTGGGCGTGCAGATGTCTGGCCATACTTGCTGAATGCTGAGAAGGTAGGAAGCTGGACCAGACAGGGTCCCCAGCTTGGTGTTGGAAGTTGTTAGGTAGGGAGCATGAACTGGAATTGGCCACATTCTAATGCCAATCAGGCCTAGCTGGAGGGAACTCTGGGGGCCTAGTGGGTATGGAGGTGCACTGCCAACTCAAAGGCAGGTGGTTAAACTCTTACCAGCTTACTCTGAAAGAGAAAGATGGGCATTCTCCCACTCTTACAGCTTCTGAAAACCCACTGGAGAGTCAGTCGTGGATTGGTTTCATCTCATTGGCAGTGAGGATTTTTAAGAGCCAGACTCTATAATGGGCGTTTTCCATATTTTCTTTATGGATTGTTTGCCGCATTTCCCCACCTTCCAGGGAAAAGGAGTGGTCTGATTTCACTAGAAGGAGCACTGATGATGCAACAAATTGAGCATTGAGCTCCAAAAAGTCATCAGATTGTTTCTGCCAGCTGCTCCTCAAGGGAAAGACACCACAATCTGGGTCTAAAAAGATTTCCAGCCTTGGGGGTGCTCTGAGGTAGTCCAGCTCTGCCCTGGGGCGTCAGTCAGAATCAACTCAATGGCTGTAAGTCTGGCTTGGTTTACACCCACAGAGCTCTCTCTGGTGGCACCTCACTTACCTGCTCAGTAGGTCACTGAGAAGTCAAATGGTCCAGCCCAGCAATCTGCTTCTGTAGTGATTCACAGCCTTGAGACTCTCTGGGCAGTTCTGCTCTGCCTATCATGGACAGAATCAGCTTGACTGCAGGAACTTTGGTTTCTGGTTTATCTCCACTGTACCCACCTTTTCACATGGCAGCCAGCTTGATGTAGGAGCCCCCATGTGGCCTCAGCTGCCCTCATTCCTGAGACACCCATGTGGTCTCCCAGGACTGTGATGATGGGATGTGGGAGAAACTGAGGCTGAAGCCTCTGCCTTCCCTATAAACGCCCCCTCCCACCCCACTCCATCCGTTCGTTCTTGAAACTTCCCCCAACCCGTGAAACCATATTAATCCTTAGAGAGGTGTGCAAGTGCCACCCAGTAACTCGCTCAGAAAACGGGCCAGGGCTGGAACCTGCTCTGAGGTGTTAAGGTGGCTCAGAAGAGGGAGGTCTCAGTTTTGACTGACAGGGTGGTCAGATCAGGCTGCCTCAGGCGTACATACTGGAGCAGGGAAGGTGGCTCAGGTCAGATTACCTCAACTGCGCCTTATTTGGCCCTGGAAGAGAATCTTTGGGGGGCATGTTGAGGGGAGAACCCAGGAGAGTCAGAGATTAACTTGAATGCCAGGATGAGACCCCGAGAATCCTGAAGAAACATGAGGACAGGGCCGCAGTTGGCATTGTAGCCATGTTTCAGGTTGTTTGGGTATAGTGGCCCATAGTAGGACCAAGAGTCAGGATTAACTTAAGTCAGATTTTTGTGTGTGAGAGAGATCAGAGGGGAGTGTCGATTTGGAAGGAAGGTGAGTCCTCTGGATCTGGCCTGGAGGATAGAGGGAGTTTGAGAGGCTTCTAGTGAGCTTCCTGTCCCCCGTTTCCTCTTACTAAGGGTATGTGTGACCTTAGACTGATTGTTAATTCCAAACCTGTTTGTTCTTTGTAAAATGGCATTGGTGCGGCCATCCTGAAGGGTTCTAAGAGTCGAGACTTGTCAGTTGAGATAGCACAGGGTATGGTGGGCTGCACAGAAGGAAGAACACTGGGAAGGACCCTACCTCCTCTGCCTCTTGCAGCTTTAGTCTACTTCCTGTCTAGAATCATTCTCTTCCTACCAAAGCAATTTTTTACAAACCTTGCTTATACCCTCTAACTATACCTTGCTCCCATCTCCTGTCCTTACCTCTCCCACCTGCATGAGATTTGCCTGCCTTCTCTCCATCCTTCTTGTACCCTCACCAGTCTGGAGCATTTCTTTTCCAAACTATTTAAGGTCATTGATGGTGACTCCATTGCCAAACCCCCTGGCTTCCTGTCCTGTCCAAGCTCCAAGTATCTGATCTGGCCTATTCTCCTTTCTGGTCTCCCACCCTTATGCTCCTTCACACTGTTGCTTCCCCACCTGCCCCTCAAAGCAAAGCTTTCCAGACATTCCTGGAAATCTTGCTAAATATCCAGACATTTCCAGGGCTCTTCCCGGAAGGTTTTGACTGAGTTTCAGGGCCATAAGGCCCATGAATCTATATATTCAACAAGGTCTTGGGTGATAGCTGTAGTTTGTATGAGTTACAAAATTGCTTAGACTGTTGATGATCCTTCTTCAGGTCTAGTCACCTCAGAACAAAATTTTAATGCCTTCAGTAGCTCTTGTCATATCCCTAATATTCTCTCCCCAGCTGCAAGTGTTGATTATTTTTTCTGCAGTGGTAGTAGTTCTCTCTGGAAAAGGGCATGTGACCCACAAAAAAAAGTGAAAACTCCACGGCTCTGCTGGGGTTTTATATACAGCAGGGACCCTGGTCATGCTCAAAGTTCCATTTCTCTCTGGAATGCCTGACCCAGATTTTGAACCCATTCAAACTCCATCTCTGGATGGCTTAGAGGAGATACCTTAAATCCAACTTACCCAAAACTAAACTCATCGCTGTCCACCGCAGAGGCTCCCACATGCCATTTCTCTTTCTGGAGCAGTGGGAGGAACTCCAGCCAGAAATGGAAGCCAGTGTCATGGCCCACTCTAATCCGGACTCTTTCCCGCATATCCACAGACTATGAGAGATGTGCTTCCCCTTTTCCTTTCTTTCCCAGAGAAGCTGGGCTCTCTGCAGGGGCCACAGGGAGCCAAGTGCACTTAGTGGGTCAGGAAGTGGGCCCCCATTGAACTGGGACAGAAACATCTTCCATGAAAGAAGGACACCCTGTGCTCAGCACCTACCTGTTGTCAGAATTGGGGCCCACTGGTGTCAGAACTTTGGGGAAACCATAAGTCTAGAACGTTATGTGAATGCTGATTTTAAAATGCTGCATTGAATTGCTTTTTTTATTTTGTTGATTTTTAAGTGTTCCCTGTTTATCTCTTTCATTTATCAGTCTAACATACTTTGGACATGTTGTGAGGAGAGACCGGTCCTTAGAGAGGGACATCATGCTTGGGAGGGTGGAGGGACAGCCCAGGAGAGGAAGGCCCTCTATGAGGTGGATTGATTCAGTGACTAGGATAATTGGGATGGGAGTGTCAGAGACAGTGCAGTAGGCACGGGACAGAGCGGAGTTTAAGGCTGTTGTACATAGGGTCGCTATGAGTCGCAAGCGACTCGTCAGCACATAACAACAACATTTTTTTTTTTAATTTTTTATTTGATTGAAAATTTACATATCCTATTGTATTTTTCAGTCATTCATTCATAACCAGTTTGTTTGATAATGTTAACTATAATTGATTAATATAGTTAATTATAATCTTTGATCAGCTTCTTACTGTATTTTGCCCTTGACTGAACTTACCTGCAATCTTTGAAGACTGATGCTGTGTGGAAACTTTTTTCTTAGCCTTTTTTATAATAATAGTCTTAACCTAATATTTTGCCTTTGTGACTGACATGTCACTCAGCATAATTTGTTCAAGATTCATCCCTGTTGTGCAACATTTCAGAGTATCCTTCTTTGGTGTTGCATAATTGTTGGTGGTGTATGAATATCATAGTTTTTTTTATGCATCCATTCATTAATTTGTTCCCATATTGTTGATGTTGTAAATAATACCACAGCAAACATGGGTATGCACTTATCTGTTGGTTTCGTGCTCTTATTTACTTATCTGTCATGGGATTGCTGGGTCCACTGTTATTTCTAGTCTCAACTTTCTAAGGAAGTACCAGACTGCTTTGCATAGTGGTTTTACTGTTTTATGTTCCCACTAGCAGTGTATAAGAGTTTCTAATCTTCTACATCCTCGCACAATGTTTATTGTTTGCTGTCTTATTGAACTTTGCTATTGCTACTGGGATGAGATACTACCTCATTTCCCCTAGCTTTGAAAGGTGATGTTAAGGCGCTTTTTTTTATGTTAAGGCTTTTAAATTTAGTTTCTGATTACAAGCCTTTATAGTTGTGAATTTCACTGTAACACGTAGCTGCATCTTATTTGAATATGTTGTTTGTTCGTTGACATTCAGATCAAAATAGTTTCTCATTTTCCTTGGGATTTGTTCTTTAATTCTTGAGTCATTTAGAAGTGGGTTGCCTCATTGTCAAGTTTTTGTGGATCTCTTTTTGTCTTTGATTTTTATTTCTTTTATGTCTGTTGTGGTCAGATATGCTACTATATATGAGTCTAGTTGTTTAATATTCATTGTTAACGTATTTTATGACCGTGGAGCTCCAGTGACATCAATGGGTAAATCCTCAACTGCTTCTGCACATTGGCCCTTCAGACCCCTCAGGCCTCTTTGTGGGAGAAGGGCTGAGTGTTCTGCTCGCATAACAGTTACAGTTGCGAAAATCCCATGGGACAGTCCTGGTCTGTCATCCAGGATCACTGTGAGTCAGGATGCTTTCAGTGACACCTGACATTAATGACATTTTATGACCAAGCATATGGTCCACCTTGGTGAGGTCCCCTTATGCATTTGAAGATAAAGTGTATCAAATGCTGGTATTGAGTAAGATTCCATAAGCCTCTTTGGGTCAGATTGGTTGATAATATTCACATTTTCTGTATGTGTAGTCCCTGACCTACATTGGTTTCTGTGCTGAAGACTTTGTTGTCAGTCATTCCTGATATAAGTGTTTCAGTCAGAAAAATTGATGAGAGTTACCTGTGTGGGCCTCTTCTTTTTCACTTCCTATATCTACTTCCCAAATCTGCCTACTGACTAGCAAAAAAAGATAGATGGAGTTTGTTAAGTGGAGTTTGTTGTAACTCAGATGGACTGCCTGTATCTTGACTTTCATACCATTGTTTTGCCTGTTATTATGAAGAATGTCGAAATCTCCAGCTCTGTTGGCAGGTGTGTCTGTGTCTCCCTTTGGTGTTGGCAAGTTTTACTTCTAAATTTTAATTTAATTTTTTAAAATTTAATTTAAATTTTAATTCTAAATTTAAATGTTGTGTGGATATCATTGAAGCATTCAGTGTAGTGTTGGTCTTAGTGAATTCTCTTGTGTTTTAAATGTGCCATAAATGGACTCAGACCACAGGTCTGACCACATTGTCACCTTCCTTGATAAAGAAAGGCTCTCAACCCCAGAGCATGAGATCCAGACCCATTAGTATGGCATTCTAGGCCCTAACAGCCTCTTTTCACAACAACTTCTTACTCTTCTCCCCCTACCTTTTCACTACACCTTCGGCCACATTTATTCTGTCACCATTTCTATAGTCTTCGCACCTGTCTATCTGATGCCCCTGCTCTCAAGAACCAGCCCAAATGTTTGTTTTGTAAGTCTTTCTGGTAGGATGTACCCCAGCATTCTCTCAGTCACTTTGCACAGTCTTTGGTTCTGACCTGAGCCCTGCAGTGTGGGTACCAGCTTCTCACCAGCACTTCATGATTGGATGGTAAGTGTTGGGAGGACAGACACTGATCGGTCCCATTCTGGATTCAGACATTTAGTCAGGGAGCATTGTAGTGCACCTCAACATAGCAGGGCAGCCAGCACATCTTTAAGGAGTAAATATACACTGGCAGAGACACTGTTCCCTGCCTACAGATGGCTTGGGCTGTAGAATGAGCTAGAGTTCCTAGGCTTCTGATGGCTGAACTGGAGAAAGGTAGAGAAATTGAGAAACCTTCCACCATAAAGCTCCTTGGCTGAAATGTTGGGAGTGGAGCATGCTGCCACAGGAAGTAGTAGGTTGTGGAGCCAGGCCTGAATGGGACTACTAGCACTGCTCCTTCTTGTGTCAGACGGTGATGTCACCCCTCTGACCATAGAGGTCCTAAAGACTGTACAGCCTGGCCATTCTTTTTTTATTTAGGGGGCTGGGGAAGAAGTCAAAAGGTTATGATCCAGATTAATAACAATAAATCCTTAGTCCTGCCAATATGAGCTTTCCACTCCTAGTTGTCCAACAGAGTTTTCAGGCCTGCCATTATTGGCTCTTCCAGCCCTAAGATCCCACCTCATCTCAGGTTTCCAGTTCGGCCATAGGTGTTGCTGCCATAGGAGTAGCTGGAGCAAGAAGACTGTATTACATTCTCTTGCTTCTTGTTCAGTGGCACCAGAAGATCTCAGCCTGGCCATTCTTGATGGCTCACAATAATAGCCGTATCCAGGGCCAGCACACTCACTGAGCCCAGGGCCAGGCAAAATGAAGGTCAGTACTGAAGCATGTTATGAAACTATTGAGAAGTTTTCAGAGGACAAGGGAGAAAGAGAGGCCATTGTTGTCATTGTTAGTTGCCATCAAGTTGACTGACTCATAGGGACCCTATGAACCACATCTGAATCTTGCCTTGTCCTGCACCATACTCACAATCTCAGCCCATTGTTATGGTCACTGTCTCGGTCATTTTGTTGAGGGTCTACCTATCTTTCTCAGCTCCTTCACTTTTCCCAGTACGATGATATTTTCCCCCTGCCCCCTCCTGACAACATGTCCACAGAATGTGAGACAATCTCACTGTCCTTGCCTCTTAAGGAGCACACTAGCTGCACTTCCACCAAGACGGATTTGTTTGCAGTTTTGGAAGTCCATGTTACATTCATGAATCTTCTCTAACGGCACAATTCAAGGGTATCAGTTCTTCTGTCATTCTTATTCATTGTCCAGTTTTCAGATGCATGGAAAAATCCAAGTAGTAAGGGAGTGTTCCTCGGGCTAGAATGAGGAGGCCATTGGAGTTGGAAGGGATTGGTCAGGGGGAAGAGGATGAAACCAACTACTGAGGGAAGACAGTGGGATTTGCCTGCTCGTGCTCTCTGAGTGTCATTTGAGAAAAAGGCAGGGTGCTGGCCTTGGAGGGTGTAAGGAGTAGAGCTCACCCTTCTTTTCTCACTCTTACCTGGAATGCTGTCGTCCAGTCTCCGTCGCCATTGTCCAACCCTAGAAAACTAACTCCTCCCTGAGTCTCACCTAGATGTAGGCCCAGTCCCTTCTCACCCACCTTTTGGGACCCATGTGGGTTTTTCCTTCCCCAGCTACCACCAACATGACTTGAGGGGGAGGAGAAGCTGGGTCTGGCTTTACTCCCCCCCCACATGTGGTGTTCCTGAAAGGTATTGGAGGGCTGGGACAGCTTTGCTTCCGGCCCCGAGCCAGAGGTCTCAGGCTTTGCTGTGTGCAGACCCTGGGCAGGTGTCATAGGGAGCCAGAGGGAGGGAGCATGTGCCCATCTGAAGGGAATAAGCTGCCGCTCACTTCAGCTGATGGGAAGTTGAGGAGTTTTATGCAACAAATTAACAAATCTAGTTACTTTCATTTGTTTGCTGTCCCAATTCTCCAAGACAAAGAGTCCAGTGGCGTAGTAGGTTAAATGCTAGGTTGCTAACCGCAATGTTAATAGTTCAAATACACCTTGAAAGAAAGATGAGGCTTTTTTTTTACTGTTGAGGCTTTTGTTGTTATGTACCATTGAGTTGGAACCAACTCATAGTTGACCCTCCAGTAAGTTTTCAGAGGCTATAAATTGCACAGGAGGAGATTGCCCACCTTTCTTCCACAGTACAGCTAATAGAGCCACCTGTCTTTAGGTTGGTAGTGCAGTTCCTTAACCACTAGGCCATCAGAGCTCTTTTATTAAGACTTACAGTCTTGGAAATCAGTGTGATGGCTGAAGATAGTCTCCAAGGTAGAGCTCACACTGGGCCTAGACTCCTGAAAGCCACGAGTTCCAGTCTGGGACTTGATGCTGGGGAGGATTTTAATTTAGGGTAAGACCTGGTCAAACTTATGTTAAAGAGATGAGGAAAAGACACAATCAAGGTGCCGAGAGCTTTGGGGGGAGACCAGGGACTACAGACTATCAAATACAAGGACTGTGGGAACACAACGTAAGGGGGTGCCGGTAACTGGAGAGCAGCCACTCAGGCCTGTGTAATGGGGCACTGGCCCATTCTTGCCTGCTGGGATCTAGTGATATCTAAACTCCCCGAATTCCAGGGGTGAGATGAAACTCAAGATCAACACAAAGTTGGTTTCTGTGAGGTGAAGGTCAAACATATCTCCACTCTACCCTTTTCACCTTTTGTGACCCCCACAGCCATTCTCCAATAGCACTCTATGCTGTTGAGTTTCATAATTTGTTGCAGTGGCCACACGGAACTCACTGCTGTATTCAGTAATTATGTAACATATTGGGAAAACAATAGGATACAACTCAGGAGACAGAATACATTTCTTCCTTTAGGACAGCATCCAACCAAGACAGCTGTCAGCTGCTTCTTGGCCACGCCCTACTTAGGCCTATCATTGCTGTGCTTCTCTGGGCCTGAGCCCAGTTATGTTACATGTGTTACAGTTATGTGTTCTCAGTTATGTTACATGTGTTACAGTTCTTTAGCTCTGCAGACACATATGTGCCTGGAGGCACCCTGCCCTGCAACCAGCCTCCTGCCACAGAAGCTCATCTCTCTCACGCCATGGGAGAGATGGCGTGCCACCTAACACCATCTCTCGTCTCCAGTCTTCTTGCTCACTCTTTATGTCTACTGTGTCTAGAATGTTCTCAGTGCAGGGCAGGGCTTCCAACTGGTTCAGTCTTAGCCTGTGGAGCAAAAACACATGCATAACAATCAAATCTCTTGGCCTGGGATTTTGACTCAAGTAGGAAATAGCAATACCTTACTCAAAGATGGCAGCCAACATACATTCAGAGAGGTGTCGTCACTATCTGAGTGGGCACGCTGCCTTTCTCCTACTCGAGTTAACCTGGTGCAGGAACCCTGGGTCCAAAAGACCTGCTCTATTCGTGGCTCTTCTTGAGAGTAGTGATGTCCCCCTCACCTTCTGCAGTTGGCTTTTAAAATCCAGCAGGGTGGCTCACCTACCAATCCCCTCAATAGACCAAAAGTCACCTAATTTTCATAGGAACCAATCCCCATAAAGATTTCATGCATCTAAATTGCATAGTACACTAACTAGTCCCGTGGTGTAGTGTAAGTGATCACAGGGCAGGCTGTGACCTAACTGTTGATTTTTGGCAGAATTATAAACCTAAACCACAAACAGGAGAAACCCTTAACACTGTGCCTGCAGGATTGTATGCCCATTCTAGCCAGCATTCTGGTTCTGCATTTTAAAATGCAGGCTTGAAAATGTTTTCATTTCTAAAAATGTTCTGGGTAGATTTAAAAAAAACCAAAAAACCCACAAACTTGTAGGCCCCAGCATTGATTTCTGCCTAAAGGATGTGTATGGCACTTGTAGCTCAGAATATCTTTGATCCTCTTGAGAAAGAACGTGAAGTAGGCATGGAAGCCACTCTGCATGGGTTCAAATCCTGGCCCTGCTCTTGCTCACTGTCTGATTGAGGATAGGAGCTGTGCGTGCTTCGGAGTCTTGGCAGTCGCAGTGACTGTCTTCTGAAGTTAAGCTGCTTAGCAGTAAGTACATAGGAAGTGCCGTAAGCAGAGCCGTCATGGTTGCTGTCCTTCCCACAGTGGAGCGGAGGCGGAGGGACAAGATTAACAACTGGATCGTCCAGCTTTCAAAAATCATTCCAGATTGTAACGCAGACAACAGCAAGACAGGAGCGGTGAGTGCCCCCAACTTTCAGTGGCTCCCAGCTCTCTAAGCCCCATCCAGAAAGATCAGGTGGACACTAGACACAGGACTTTTCCTGGGCTGGGCAATAGGTAGAGGCTGTGATGGGTGTTCACTGCACATTCTGTCCCACTGCCCAGAGTAAAGGAGGGATCCTGTCAAAGGCCTGCGACTACATCCGGGAGCTGCGCCAGACCAACCAGCGCATGCAGGAGACCTTCAAGGAGGCTGAGCGGCTGCAGATGGACAATGAGCTCTTGAGGCAACAGGTGAGGGTCCAGGCCTGGAGCTGGGACGGTAGGGGGCGACTAGGCGCCCCAAAGGCGCATGGAGCCAGCCTCTCCTTTGCACTCAATCGTGTGTCTACAGATCGAGGAACTGAAGAACGAGAATGCCCTGCTTCGAGCCCAGCTGCAGCAGCACAACCTAGAGATGGTGGGCGAGAGTGCCCGGCAGTGACGGCCACTGCACCGGACGTGTGCACAGGAGCCGCCTCTGTGCTCTCTGCAGCCCCTTCCCCAGCCCTTAGCACAGAGAGGGACAGATGCCCCTCCCCCAGCTGCGTTTTTTATAGTAGATTTTTAACAAAAAATGGGGAGAAATAAATAATGCATTTCTGTGGATACAGCCCCATCACCCACCTCAACTTGGAAATGACATCCCCCACCCCCATCTGTCTGTCTGTCTCCCCTCTGTTGGCCCTCACTGTGCCCCAGCACATCTCGTCTTGCCTGGAGGCAAGAGGACGGACAGGGGCCCTGACATATCCTGCTGTCTCCTTGGTCTCTAGAGGTGCTGAGACAGGGTGCCTATGGGAAGGAGGGAGCCCCTGGGGGTCCTCCCTATGGCCTGAACCTGCACAAGGAGGCCATGTCCCACCCCCACCTCTTGTCTCTTGGTCCTTGTTCTCCTTTGGGTGTGTGTGCGTGTGTGTGTTTTAATTTTCTTTATGGAAAAAAATGGACAAAAAAAACCATAGAGAGGTATTTAACTGCAATAAACTGGCCCCATGTGGCCCCGCCTTGTCGGTTCGTGTATCTGTCCATCTTGGGAGTGGGTGGGGGCTGGGGTCTGCATAGCTTGGTGATGTACCTCTCCCCAGTGCTTATGCTGTCAGCTGTCCCCAAGTAAGATTTCTGGACCCCCCCTAGCCCGACTGGGTCTGCTCAGCAGACCTACGTCAGATGCTTCCCGTTTCCTGTTCCAGGAGCAGACTGCATACCTTGGCTGGGGCTAGGGTGGAGGGGCACCAGGATGCCTTAGCTGATCTGTGTCTTTGGTGACCACCCCCTGTCTCCATTGGGTCCCTCTGGGCAAAACTCATGCTCCCAGAGAACCAAGAAGAGTGACAGCGAGCTCCTTCCAGGAGCTGTATAAGACAAAGGAAGTGACGGGCAGTGACCTCATGGTACAAGGGGCTGCAGTGATGTCCCAGGCCCTCAGATGTACACTCTGTACCAGCCCCTGCCAGCCTTGTGCCACCTGGTACCCCATCTGTTGGTTGGATAGAGGGACAGGAATGAATCTCTCCTTTTAGGCTCCAAGTGTACCTGTACAGTGGCTGGGGTCAAGGACAAGTCCCTTTTGGTAAGGGGAAAGCCTGGGGTCTCCCATGCCAGCAATTCCTAATACCACCCCCTCCATGCTGAAGCCCTCCCCTCTGCATCAGCCAATAGTGGGGCCTGGCCTTGAGCCCCTCACCCCCAGGTAGGGCTGATGGCCAGGAAAGCAGGCTTGGCCCGGCAGCCTGTCGCCTAGAATTGTGAGTCTGGCGCCTGTGCATGACCCCTGCCCCTGACTGATGATGAAACCTGGCCTGAGTGGAGATGCAAGCTGGCCTGGGGGATGCTGCTCTTTCCTCTCCCCCCTGCCTCTTTCTGCAGCCCCCTTCCAGGGTCTTGGCCTGCCAGCCAGGTCACCTCTAAGCTCTCCATTCTTGCCCCCTCCCCACATGTCCCCAGCTGGTCACTTCTTTTAATCTCCAGGTACCCAGCCCACTTTTCCAGACCATTCCCCTGTTGGGGATTATCTGAAGATAAGGAGGCCCCTACCTTGGAGTGAGGGGGCAGACAGATGGCAAGGAGCAATCTGCACTTTGATTTCTGCAGACTTGAGGCCATAAAGAAGTTTTCATGCCTTTGTGAGTGTGGATGCCAGGTCCAGGTTGTAGGGTTGAGGCACAGAAGTGAGTTGGTGGAATGGTCAAAGGCCAGGGCTCTGGGTCATGCTCCCCTGAAGTGGTCTGGGTAGTGGAGTACTGAGGCACAGTAGCCAGGCAACCTCAACTCTTCATCCAGAGGTATGCTGAGGAACCCAAGCCCCAGCCACCAAATCTTTGTAGTTGACTAGTTGTTGGTGAATAGGCCCATCATAGCTGACTCGAAGGTGCCAGCACAATGCCCTGAGTGTGTAGTTGAGATACACTATCAGCTCCAGCACACCTCCACACCCTCCAGCACACCTCCACACCCTGCAGCACACCTCCACACCCTGCAGCACACCTCCACACCCTGCAACACACCTCCACACCCTCCAGCACACCTCCACACCCTCCAGCACACCTCCACACCCTGCAGCACACCTCCACACCCT